TGTTTGTTAAATGATACTGTGTAAACATCTCACTAGATATGTTTGTTTGTTAAAGGATAATTTGTAAAGATCTCACTAGATATGTTTGTTTGTTAAAGGATGCTGTGTAAAGATCTCACTAGATACGTTTGTTTGTTAAAAGACACTGTGTAAAAATTTCACTAGATTTGTTTGTTATATAAAGCTTAGATGGTGAAAACTTGTTTGTAAACCTCTATAGCCATAGAAAAGTAAATATGGTTTAATGTATAAGAATTTAACTGAAATTCATAACCTTAAATTTAGAATTTTGAACTTATTGATCTTATATTATTCAGGTTATTTTCGTTATTTTAAACTTCACTGAGTGAAGCTGTTAAACGTAGTGAAAATGTAGCATGCGAAGTAACAAAAAAAGTTCATTTTTATAGATATTTATTAACTTAATGGAATGGACAACTAATAATTCTCATTTATCATTTAATGGAATTATTTATTATCAGATTCATAGTGTTGCCATTGGTTATAGGCCATTTTCTGTTTCTTATATAAACGAAATGGGTATGATTTATTAGTAAGTAATTAAAATGTATTATTCCAGGAATGTAGTTGGTACTTTTATGACTTTTGAACGTCCTGAATACACAATAATGTTCCTAATTATCTAAACAGTAAACGCAGCCCTATTACGTTTACGACGAATGAGAGAAAATGACACGATTGCCATTTGCTGGTTTTGGTTAATAAATGATAGGAGAAACTGTGGATAATGTCTTATTTCAAATCTACGTTTTCCGAATGTCGATATCTCTGGCTGAACAGTTCATCAGAACTAATTACTTAAACATGTTACGCGAGACACTTCCCGTAACCAATGTTAATTTAGATGTGTTTATGAAGAAATAAAATATATATTAAACGTGCGTTCCAATATAATAATTAATAGTTCATCCTAGCTTTTCCATTTGTCAGAAACGACATGCGAGTTCAATAAGCACTTGTTTCTTAATGCTTATAAAAAAACACACCACTTGTTTCTTAATGCTAATAAAAAAACACACCACTTGTTTCTTAATGCTAATAAAAAAACACACCACTTGTTTCTTAATGCTAATAAAAAACACACCACTTGTTTCTTAATGCTAATAAAAACACTCTTGTTTTCAAATCATATTATTCCAGACATACCTTAAATATCTACGACAAATATTTTTGTGTCATTGACTTTAATGTTATTGAGTTGGCTAGGGAAGAAGGAGCGCTGACGGTCCCAGAAAATATCTTGGTCACACAACAAAGACTAATTTTAATTAACTACAGAGCGTAGTTTTGGCGATATCTTTTCTAATCGAATTGCAAATCTACTTAGATAAAATTGAATTTTGTTCCTCACATTAAACTTTATTCAGCAATTTTTGAACACCGTGTTCTTTATAACTACAGACATCCTGAGTGTGATAGATTGAACGGTTGTCTTTTCACTTGTATGTGCTCGAAACCATGTTTATAGTCTTTTCTGTACTTAATCTTGGATAAGAAGTGCCCCCAATTTGTTTCTCTGCAATACACTATTTCTCAATACACCTTATAAGATCCAGATGTTAAAATTATATATTAACTTACCTTAATGATACGCCCTCTGTAGAAAAGCGTCATCACTTTCTTAATGCGTGATCCTATCTACCTTATTTGGGCTCGTTCGTTTGTTTTAGAGCGAAGCCATGTTGGGCTATCGGCTGTGCCTACTGCAAGGAATCCAACCCCGGATTTTAGCGTTGTAAATCTATAGACTTATCGCTGTCCCACTGGGGGGGGGGGGCACCTTGTTTGGAATTTCGAAAATAACTCAACAAATCTATCAATAGATTGTAGAACGTATCCACGCTTTAAGATACAAATAAGTGGCACAGTTAACTCTGATATGAAATTTGCTCAAACTAATTAGCTTTTAAAAACTATCTACGAGTTATTGTGGTCGAAATTTGGAAATTAAAAAAGGGATGTCACAGTTTCCGGTATCCAAATTAGAACCGAAAAAAAAGTACTCTGATAAAGGACTAGATCTATTAACCCACAAAAAACCTCACTTTACTACTAATATAGCTCACCTCTCAATGGCATTTGGATACGAAGAGACAGAATTTAGGGTGTTCGCCAGGCAGGTACAGCACTTGGCTACCTTACAACGGCAAGTAAGCTTCGTCGGGTCTTCCTCGACCTTCTTTATCGACAGAACTCGCTAAAATCTAGGAAAAACGGTTTATAGAGCTCAGGAACCATATCTTGTATTGCACAACATGTGTGTCCACTGTCATGTGTTGTGTGTAATTTGGACTATGGTATAGGTTTACTTTTTTATCACCCGAAAAACAGTGCGAATTCGGCCACGCTGGTTGTGTAATTCAGAATCCAGATATCGCAAGGGATTTACAATCATTCAGAATTTAAAAAAAAGAAAAAGAAAGAAATAAAAGGTATTGGAAAGCTTTGTTTGGGAATCAACCCAACAAACGTATCCCCCTGACTCGCAGCTTGGGTGTTAATACTATCAGGAAATGTAATATCAGTATCAGATAAGTTAGAGTATAACAAAATATGTGGTGGGAAAACCATACAACCCAGTGCTTTGCCTATTAGTAAAGATGCATAGAAACATATTGCGGAGATCCGGCATGGTCAGGTGGTTAGGGCGCTTGACTCGCAATCCCCACCAAGCATGCTCGCCCTTTCAGCCGTGGGAGCGTTATAATGTGACGGGCAATCCCACTATTCGTTGGTAAAAGAGTAGCCCAAGAGTTGG